CACAGTTTGGATGCTTCGGCATTTGTTGAGAACATGATACTTGTTAATGCCGAAGAGCGCACATGTACACAATGGCTGTTTAAATGTGAAGAGCACACAATGACTGTTTAAATGTGAAGAGCACACAGTGGATGTTTAAATGTGAAGAGCACACAATGGCTGTTTAAATGTGAAGAGCGCACAGTGGATGTTTAAATGTGAAGAGCACACAATGGCTGTTTAAATGTGAAGTGCACACAATGGCTGTTTAAATGTGAAGAGCACACAGTGGATGTTTAAAAGTAAAGAGCACACAATGGCTGTTTAAATGTGAAGAGCACACAATGACTGTTTAAATGTGAAGAGCACACAATGGCTGTTTAAATGTAAAGAGCACACAATGGCTGTTTAAATGTGAAGAGCACACAATGACTGTTTAAATGTGAAGAGCACACAATGGCTGTTTAAATGTGAAGAGCACACAATGGCTGTTTAAATGTGAAGAGCACACAATGGCTGTTTAAATGTGAAGAGCGCACATGTGCAATGGCTGTTTAAATGTGAAGAGCACACAATGGCTGTTTAAATGTGAAGAGCGCACAATGACTGTTTAAATGTGAAGAGCACACAATGGCTGTTTAAATGTGAAGAGCGCACAGTGGATGTTTAAATGTGAAGAGCACACAATGGCTGTTTAAATGTGAAGTGCACACAATGGCTGTTTAAATGTGAAGAGCACACAGTGGATGTTTAAAAGTAAAGAGCACACAATGGCTGTTTAAATGTGAAGTGCACACAATGGCTGTTTAAATGTGAAGAGCACACAGTGGATGTTTAAAAGTAAAGAGCACACAATGGCTGTTTAAATGTGAAGAGCACACAATGACTGTTTAAATGTGAAGAGCACACAATGGCTGTTTAAATGTAAAGAGCACACAATGGCTGTTTAAATGTGAAGAGCACACAATGACTGTTTAAATGTGAAGAGCACACAATGGCTGTTTAAATGTGAAGAGCACACAATGGCTGTTTAAATGTGAAGAGCACACAATGGCTGTTTAAATGTGAAGAGCGCACATGTGCAATGGCTGTTTAAATGTGAAGAGCACACAATGGCTGTTTAAATGTGAAGAGCGCACAATGACTGTTTAAATGTGAAGAGCACACAATGGCTGTTTAAATGTGAAGAGCGCACAGTGGATGTTTAAATGTGAAGAGCACACAATGGCTGTTTAAATGTGAAGTGCACACAATGGCTGTTTAAATGTGAAGAGCACACAGTGGATGTTTAAAAGTAAAGAGCACACAATGGCTGTTTAAATGTGAAGAGCACACAATGACTGTTGTTTAAATGTGAAGAGCACACAATGGCTGTTTAAATGTAAAGAGCACACAATGGCTGTTTAAATGTGAAGAGCACACAATGACTGTTTAAATGTGAAGAGCACACAATGGCTGTTTAAATGTGAAGAGCACACAATGGCTGTTTAAATGTGAAGAGCACACAATGGCTGTTTAAATGTGAAGAGCGCACATGTGCAATGGCTGTTTAAATGTGAAGAGCACACAATGGATATTTAAATGTGAAGAGCACACAATGGATGTTTAAATGTCAGGCTCTCTCTTGTTATCTACATCAAGGCAACACGTATGCCTTGTCACGGTAACCATATTCGGTTGATGCATCCTCTGAATCGATACAACATTAACGTTATAAGTTTTACCAAACATTTGGGTTCCTACCAAATAACATCCGTGCGCTTCGAATCCGTCCAGCATAGCTGACGTTGTCTGACGTTCAAGTCGAAGCCCTGAAGCTCGCCAATCAGGCTAGGAAAGACCCCAATCTCCTGAACAGGAGGCGCGGCCGCCGAGATCGTTACACTGTACAGCTTCTTGTTCGTGGCGATGACAACACGCGGCGTCTCCCATCCTGTCATAAGAACACATTTTGTGTCATTAGGAATTCACCCGGAACACCTGGTGTAAACATGAACATCACAACATCCACAATACGTGCTCTCATCTTACAAAACCGGCTTCTTTCCAATGACAACGCAACGTACTGTCCCACTCATCACTATTTAGGGGAAACGTTCTTGTATTCAATTCATTCGTTGCCCCCAACATACAAACAAGTACTTTGGTCAATATGTTCACTTTGACACAGATATAGTATTACAGGATTAAGAGGAAGTGTGTAGCATTAGGTGTGGGAAATTATTGAATATGCAGTCGTCCATCCCATGTTATAACGATATAAATCCTCTAGGACAAATGGTGGGGTTATTACCAGGATAGGCTGTAAATGGTTGTTACAGAACAATCATAAGAGATAGTATAGTGGCATATTACCAGTGGGGCTTTCAGTTGTCGTCGACGTCGCCGCTGTCGTCGTTGAGGCTGACTGCAGAGAGGTCAGAGATGTAGAGGCAGATGTCACGGTCGCAGTAGGATTACACACTGTCTCGTCACTTCCATCAGTACAGTCATACTGACCGTCACATCGCCACGTCTTGGTCACACACTGACCATTCCAACACCGGAAGTAATGTGTTCCGCACGTGTTGATGTCTAGAGATTTAGTATCCGATGTCAGTATTATTCACACACCTCCAGCTGGGGACATGGCTATGAAGATGTGCCGCTTTCGATAAATCATTTGCTAACAAGCGTTTATGTATATTTTGTGTGCGAATCATTAAACTTCAAAATATCAATGAAGAGGCAGGTACACGGTAAGCCCTTGGAAATTTTGTTTATTCATAAACCTTATCACATATCACACGTACCACAGCTTTCTTCATCTGAGTGATCCCGGCAGTCAAAGATGTTATCACATTTCCATCTGGTTGGCACACATCGTTCCCCGTCACAGAGAAACCTGCCCTCCGAACACCTGCCTACAGATGTAAACACACTACAGTAGTGTAGGCTCACATCGCTCCCCGTCACAGAGAAACCTGCCCTCCGAGCACCTGCCTACAGATGTAAACACACTACAGTAGTGTAGGCTCACATCGCTCCCCGTCACAGAGAAACCTGCCCTCCGAACACCTGCCTACAGATGTAAACACACTACAGTAGTGTAGGCTCACATCGCTCCCCGTCACAGAGAAACCTGCCCTCCGAACACCTGCCTACAGATGTAAACACACTACAGTAGTGTAGGCTCACATCGCTCCCCGTCACAGAGAAACCTGCCCTCCGAACACCTGCCTACAGATGTAAACACACTACAGTATAGTGAAGGCACATCGTTCCCCGTCACAGAGAAACCTGCCCTCACTTGACCAAACACCTGCCTACAGATGTGGCATCTCGACAATAGGATAGGCAAGCAACCGTAATTTAGTATTCCAACACAGTACGCCTATTCCGGTGATATATAGGAACTGTTCATTTGAAACATTGACTGACGTATAAAAGACTGTACTTACCAGCTCTTGCAATGGCTAGAGACAGCGAGAAGAAAAACGCAATATGTAATTTGGACCAAGGCGACATTGTGACTATGTTATCGTGAAATCATATTGCAAATGAATGCAAAATGTGTCTTTACCACAAGAACACGCCTACTAACATCAGGCGGTGTTCATGTAGATAGTAAAGGAGTATGGCCTCTCGTACATATGCTGTACCATGGGGATAGCTCACCACCGGATGTCACCACTCTCAATTATTGTCACACTTCTTAGGCTCGCGAAGCACTTATGTATATACAACTGTCGATATCTGGGAAACGTGAAGCTGGGGCCATTATGTATATACAACTGTCGATAGCCGTGAAACGTGAAGCTGGGGCCATTATGTATACACAACTGTCGATATCTGGGAAACGTGAAGCTGGGGCCATTATGTATATACAACTGTCGATAGCCGTGAAACGTGAAGCTGGGGTCATTATGTATATATAACTGTCGATAGACGAGAAACGTGAAGCTGGGGCCATTATGTATACACAACTGTCGATATCTGGGAAACGTGAAGCTGGGGCCATTATGTATATACAACTGTCGATAGACGAGAAACGTGAAGCTGGGGCCATTATGTATATACAACTGTCGATAGACGAGAAACGTGAAGCTGGGGCCATTATGTATATGCAACTGTCGATAGACGAGAAACGTGAAGCTGGGGCCATTATGTATATACAACTGTCGATAGACGAGAAACGTGAAGCTGGGGCCATTATGTATATACAACTGTCGATAGACGAGAAACGTGAAGCTGGGGCCATTATGTATATACAACTGTCGATAGACGAGAAACGTGAAGCTGGGGCCATTATGTATATACAACTGTCGATAGACGAGAAACGTGAAGCTCGGGCGCAACTCAGTAATGTAAAATGTAAAGTTAATATCGCTTGTGTACTCTGAAGAAATGTGTCAAGTGTAAGCACACACACTGGTCTAGGACAATTGCCGCCAAGCACAATTGCTACCTGGACAATTGCCACCGAAAACATAAAAAATAATTCAGTTTCTTTATCAACTTTTATTGAGTTTGACATGGTAATCCATAACAAATAATAACATTCTTCCATATGACCAACAGCAACACTTGACATATCTTGTACATCAACTTCAATCTAGAATTTAAGTCCAACCACAATAGTATTGTATTAAATAGAGTTGCATATGATGCGTGTACTATTAATAACGTCCATAATACTATTAACATTGCACTAATCATCTCCTCACGTACAGCACTAGCAAATAAATGCCCAGTTACATTGTTCATGTACACACAACACATTACATACACATTCTGGGTGACAATTGTCCTCACCATTATAGTAAAAAGAACTGCGGTGGCAATTGCCTCTCTCTCTCTCTCTCTGTCTGTCTGTTTGTTTGTCTGTCTGTAATGACCAAATCTCTCTGATTTTGTATTTATTTCTCTCAAATACATAAAATTGATTCGCAGGTCGGATGGTATTTTAATTACTCCATCGATCGCGGCTCACAAGATGTTACAATACAAGTCGCGGTGTCAGGTGCAGCTGGATCAAGCAGCTTTTGTCACTCAGGGGATTTAACAGACTCGTTATCAACACAGAAGCTGCAGGCACGGAATTGTCGGTCACTTCTCTCCGACACGCCTCAGTAGGTCCATTGTTTGAGTCCATTGTACAGATAACTTGTGAAAGGTCACATGCATTCTATAATAGACGCCAGGTAATTCATTAAACTCCCGGGGAATGTGAGCAGTTCTTCCTTCAACTGGTTGTCTGACGGGCGATTAGTGTGGGGATCACCTCCAAGAAGACGGCAGCGCTTCACGACAGCACACTATTGGACTATAAATATAATGTCTACTATCAGCTTCAGGAATGAGGTCCGGTTTTCCGACACTGAAATGGATGCTGTTACACTGGACATAGCTCAGCCCTTCACTGACCGGTCGTCCTCACTGTCGTCAAGGTACGTTCTGCATACGTCCACAATACTTGAGCGTTCCATGTAGGTTTACTTGCGCTTTTCCTATTTGCAGCATACCCACCGCGGGTAGACGTCGATATTCAGCAAGCCATGACATCGCGGAAGTATTTCTGTGAACACCTAAGCAATCATCGTGTGTTATCCACATTCAAAAGCCTCGGGTGTATTGCACTCCCAGCAAGCATACAAAGTGTGCGCCACGCATTAACATATACGTGCAAATTGTGAACCACGAGGAGATGACCATTCAAAGCCCCTGTACGTTGTTTTTATTTTCAGGAGGACATCTTGTGAAGGCACAATACCCCGCAGTATCCTCAAAACTAGGAAAAATGTGGAGCATTGGCTGTAAGTACAGGCAACATCGTTGGTATTTTACACTATTGTCTACTGCACACAATCGAATCTAAACTGGACATATGTACATGTTTATAGATAGGTATAACTAGCTACGAAACATGCCGCCAGGATACCATGTTTGAAGTCCCGTAAGTAACAGAGCCGGGGGCCCGTTTGACAAAGCGATCGTTGCGCTACGACTGCCGTAAGTCATGTTCAAGTATGGGAGTTACGATCACCTTAGCGTTACGACTGCCGTAAGTCTATGTTCAAGTATGGGAGTTACGATCACCTTAGCGCTACGACTGCCGTAAGTCATGTTCAAGTATGGCAGTTACGATCACCTTAGCGCTACGACTGCCGTAAGTCATGTTCAAGTATGGCAGTTACGATCATCTTAGCGCTACGACTGCCGTAAGTCATGTTCAAGTATGGGAGTTACGATCACCTTAGCGCTACGACTGCCGTACGTCATGTTCAAGTATGGGAGTTACGATCACCTTAGCGTTACGACTGCCGTAAGTCTATGTTCAAGTGTGGGAGTTACGATCACCTGAGCGCTACGACTGCCGTTAGTCATGTTCAAGTATGGGAGTTACGACCACCTTAGCGCTACGACTGCCGTAAGTCATGTTCAAGTATGGGAGTTACGATCACCTTAGCGCTACGACTGCCGTAAGTCATGTTCAAGTATGGGAGTTACGATCATCTTAGCGCTACGACTGCCGTAAGTCATGTTCAAGTATAGGAGTTACGATCATCTTAGCGCTACGACTGCCGTACGTCATGTTCAAGTATGGGAGTTACGATCACCTTAGCGTTACGACTGCCGTAAGTCTATGTTCAAGTGTGGGAGTTACGATCACCTGAGCGCTACGACTGCCGTTAGTCATGTTCAAGTATGGGAGTTACGACCACCTTAGCGCTACGACTGCCGTAAGTCATGTTCAAGTATGGCAGTTACGATCACCTTAGCGTTACGACTGCCGTAAGTCTATGTTCAAGTATGGGAGTTACGATCACCTTAGCGCTACGACTGCCGTAAGTCATGTTCAAGTATGGCAGTTACGATCACCTTAGCGCTACGACTGCCGTAAGTCATGTTCAAGTATGGCAGTTACGATCACCTTAGCGCTACGACTGCCGTAAGTCATGTTCAAGTATGGGAGTTACGATCATCTTAGCGCTACGCCTGCCGTAAGTCATGTTCAAGTATGGGAGTTACGATCACCTTAGCACTACGATCGTTTTGTGAAATGGGGCCCTGGGCACTGGGATTTGATCACCTCAGTACAACAAGCGAAGGTCACTGGCGACCTACTCAGATTATTAATTCCGGTTCCTTGAAGGATATGGCCAGCCAGCATGACCTCCGACCCCTTAACTTGAGTTGTCCAACTCTCGCCAAAAACAACAGTACATGTATTTCTTATTCAATGGGTAATAAGTGTTTTAGAATCTCAAAGTAAACTTCCTCTTTCCTAAAGCTGGAACAGCAACACCCCTCGCGGGGTTTGTTCTTACAGGGAGACTATATAGACTATATGTTGTAGATTATCCCTGTTTCTTACAATATAAGAGAGATGGGTCAAGTGACTAGAACCAGCATAAACCTCAGGCAGCTGAATCTGACGGGAACAGCTTCGTTTATCACTTTGCCCAAATAGATATTTCAACGTGGGTTATATTCACAATGTGCCCACCTGTAAATTTAATGTAATTCGTCACTTTGTAACATTTTCAGCGAGGATGGGTCAAGTACGAACAGCGATGACGTTTTTGAAGGCTTCTCCAAGTCGTTCCTGCCGGGCCTGCATGAGTGGACGAACTGGAGAACCCAGATGAATGACACAATGGTTGACCTGATAGAGAAGCGCCACCGCATCTTCAGCTACCCCGGCTCGGTGCGTCATCTACAGAAGCATCAGACTGTCATGAAGAATCTAGTAGAACCGGATTTCGTCATCACCAAAGAGGCGTCGGACTTTGCTCTCCAGCGTGCAGTACATGATTATGTCACCGGTAATTATGGGTTTCATCTGCAAGCATCCACGTTCATAAGTTTCGGCTTGCCGCGGGTCCGACTGCGGCCTAACTCAACATACCTTGCAGACGATAGACATTCCGAGAGCACCTCTGACACAGGAAGTAGCAACGGCACCATTACCGGAAGTGATCATGCTAAAACTACTTTTGACAATTCAGGCCAAACAAAACCTACTTTAGACGATATTTCTGGGTCTGATTCTGCACGTGCTAGCATGACTAGTTCACCTGAAATGGGCGATGCCAGCCCAGACGACGTTCCACAACTACCCACGGACAAGACAGTGGTGATTGTAGCGTCAACAGAGTCGCAACTGCCGGTGAGTGAGTGCAGCGGTTCTGACATGGCACTAACTGGGAGACCGAGAGACACGGAGTCACTGTGTGCTATTCTGGATCTCAGGGAAGATTCGGACGATGGCTTCTGAAGCTGATCAGTACTTACGTCAAACTAGGGCCTGCTGTATCACGTGCTAAATCCATGTCCCAGTCAGTGTCTATTGTACATGTATATATTGTATTGTAAATAAATAACTGTTCGCCTGTGACATTGCCGCGCCATGCAAACCTTATTCTCTTACAACGTTTTAACATGTTCTATTAAAGTTATACGAACATAAAATTGTGTGCCTCGCTTTACTGTCTGAAATGTACTGGCGCAATTTCACGTATGTTGAATAAGGTATTCTGCAGTTTATAGGGTTTTGTTTTGCTTGATTTCTTGGGATACAAATGCCAGGTAGGGTTGAGTCGAAATAAGAGATCCGACTGTCCGTGAACTCACTCACTCACTCACTCACCGTCGCCATATAGTTTGAATATATGCCGAGTGCGGCGTTAACAAACCAACTAACCTAGCAACTTTAAATAGAATCACGAAAATTCGCCATGATTAATTAGCAGCTGCACGTGTGTTATGTTAATAAAGTGAAAGTATCACGTAAAAACAAACAAAAAGTGGGTTTCTCAAGAATAATGAAATTTGATGACGATAAACATCGTCACTTCGTTAACGAATCGTGGGTATATTTCGCGATTCTGTTTCAAGCGGCCAGGTCTACACAGGTGATGGTAATCATAAGCTGCAAGTACTATTCAGATAAGGATTAAACATGTGATATTGCTGGCGTACAAAACACGGAGGAACACATTGCTGTGGGTAACTTGTACCGTACTCGAGGCTGGATTCAATCACAAGAAACCACCTTTCCACTGTACTTGACGCTTTCGCATCACAGATGACAAAAGTAACCGAAACAGGCATAAGATACTCAGGAAACAGTTTGAATTTCTTCCTCACTCGGAGGAGTCAGTCCACAAAAATAAAACAAAGCGGTGCATTAAAAATGCAACATATTTCCACCAGTCCTCAAGATTAATGTTCTGTTAAATTCCTTGGTCACACGGCTGGGTTATTTTAATTCATTTGATACACTTTGCATTTGGTGTTTGTGAAGGGTCCCATATTTTCAATACTATGGAAAATTGTGTAGTGTACCCCTCACACAAAATGAGGACAATACAACTATTTTGCTGATTAATATTGCACGGTGCTGGTCTGAAGTGATGTTACAACAATCTGCAATGTGGTCCACGTCAAAGAAATCTGAAGTGTGTGTGTGTGTGCGCGCGCGCGTGTGTGTGCGTGTTTTACGGAAACTTTGAAAGTAGATTTATGAAAGTAGATTTGGGTATATTTTCCTCAATTTGACGACTTCGGTAATAAACAGAATATTATATTCGTGTCCATATCGTACTATGTTTACGACACTCTCGTGCTCGGGATATACCAACATTTAGTCAACATGGTATGACATGGGCACTCCTATAATATGTATTGTTGTCATTATTGCGATATCTTTCAGTTTGTTACCCGTGAAGGTCCGGGTTAAAATATTGGCCTTCATTAACCCATGCTTGTCTTAAGAGGCGACTAACGGGATCGGGTGGTCAGGCTCGCTGACTTGGTTGACATGTCATCGGTTCCCAATTGTGTAGATCGATGCTCATGCTGTTGATCACAGGATTGTCTTGTCTAGACTCGATTATGTACAGACCGCCGGCCTCATGCTGTTGGTCACTGGATTGTCTGGTCCAAACTTATTTACAGACCGCCGCCATATAGCTGGAATATTGCTAAGTGCGGCGTCAAACTAAACTCACTCACTCACTCTTTCACACTGTTTGGTTTGTTGCAATGCACATCTAACACTGCATGACTGAGGGCTGTGCTATATATGGGATACTGGCGGTGGTGTCTCCTATGTGTTGCTGACGATGAGGTAATACACAGTGTTCCTGAGGATGTTATGTATGTGTACATTATGCGAAGTTGTTCATGACTTACCATATACATGTATGCTGCACACCTGCTAACGATTAACTTTATATATGATGCACTGTTTGAGAGGCATTCTAGAAGTTGTAATAGGAATGACAAGTCTTTATGGCTAATCAGCTTCTTTATTGTGCAATAGCGACGTTTCGGTATAGATACTTAGACCGTTTTCAAGCATGTCATTCCCTTATATATGATGTACAGCTGGTAACGACTAACTTTATATATGATATACAGCTGGTAACGACTAACCCTATATTTTTGTGTTTGTACAGATATTCCCATTGTCCCTAAAGCAGAGGTTAAAGCATGGTTAGAAATGTTATCTATGGGGGCTGCGTTTCTACACTAAATTATTTTCTTAAGACTCTAAAAATATGGGTCCATTCATTTAAATCATACCGATTGCTACCCAGTTGGTGGACGGGTGCCCACAGCGTACGTGAGAAAGCCACCCAAACAGCAGCTGATGTAAGTCGGTGTACATGGCCGATCGCACGGGAAAGCACAACCCCACTGTATGCCAATCACTAAAGGGCAAAAATGAGGTCGAATATTCCACTTTTTGTTACATTAAACTGTATTCATGAAGAATGTGTATTTATTCAGCAAATCTGAAATTGCATAGCTAATTGTTACGGTTCCCTGGTTTATATTATGCCGTGTGTATCGCTTTGTGTACTGGTGTGTGTCTGGGCGGTTGTATGGAGACTGTACGTGTTGCCATGTGTGTCGGGCGGTTGTGTGGTAACTGTTGCCATGTGTGTCAGGCGGTTGTGTGGTAACTGTTGCCATGTGTATATGGGCGGTTGTGTGGTAACTGTTACCATTTGTGTCGGGCGGTTGTGTGGTAACTGTTGCCATGTGTGTCAGGCGGTTGTGTGGTAACTGTTGCCATGTGTATATGGGCGGTTGTGTGGTAACTGTTACCATTTGTGTCGGGCGGTTGTGTGGTAACTGTTACCATTTGTGTCGGGCGGTTGTGTGGTAACTGTTGCCCTGTGTGTCTGGCTGTTGTGTGGTAACTGTTGCCCTGTGTCTCGGGCGGTTGTGTGGTAACTGTTGCCATGTGTGTCGGGCGGTTGTGTGGTAACTGTTGCCCTGTGTGTCTGGCTGTTGTGTGGTAACTGTTGCCATGTGTCTCGGGCGGTTGTGTGGTAACTGTTGCCATGTGTGTCGGGTGGTTGTGTGGTGACTGTTGCCATGTGTGTCAGGCGGTTGTGTGGTGACTGTTGCCATGTGTGTCGGGTGGTTGTGTGGTGACTGTTGCCATGTGTATATGGGCGGTTGTGTGGTAACTGTTGCCATGTGTATATGGGCGGTTGTGTGGTAACTGTTACCATTTGTGTCGGGCGGTTGTGTGGTAACTGTTGCCATGTGGTGGGATATCAGGATAGTTGGAGGGAATAGGAAAGGGATACACACCTATCATCGGTCAGTTGTGTAGCCAGTGGAGCGTTAGGTCTACTGCATTAGCAGTACAGTCTAGGGCAGGTGAAAGTGTGCGCTTGGTTGTTCCCATTGCACCTCTGAGAGCCCATGTATGTCATAGGTTATACATACATATACAAGTCTCCCTTTCGTTATGATACCTGTCGCACACATACAAGAACGCAACCCATAACATTATATATTGATATTCATTTAGGTTTTCAAGATAACGTCCCGTCTATTGAAGTCAGTTAGTCACCGTGTACAAACAAAATGAAACGTTGATAGACTCTGAATCAATAACAGCAGAGGACAGCCGTACCAGATATACATGCTCACAGTGTCAGGCGGGCACAAACCATTTTTCAGCTTGGAGTCTGTTGACTGGACTCAGATTGTTTAGCTTTACACAGAGAGACATGGTTTACAACCAGGAATAATTGGTCAACATTTATCAGGACGTGTCACAATATTACTGCAACATGTACCTCAAAGATATTAAGTTTGAGACACAGTAACATCGTCACGGTTATCAAAAGTCAAAGATGTGTGCAAAATAAATGTTAAGTGTGCCTGATACAAATCTGGTATTCCACATGCAACTTAGAGAAAGTAGTTGTCAATCAATACAAGGATCTGCCTGTAGTCATCGGGACTACTGACGAAATCCATGCTGTATTCGAGTGAGTGGCCTAGTGGCGTGGGTATTTCTTCCTGGTGTTTCTCACTATACCAGGTAGCCCATGGTGGACAGTCACCCTGTCTATTGGTTCTGTCCAGAGAACGTCTTTACAGTATTCATACATTTAACAGAGTAGCAACCGTGAACAGGCGCTGATAAACGGCATTCACTCAGCGGAATGTTTACGTATGGCGGAGACCGGCAAGTAAGTTGTTGTATTACAATGATCATCCTTATAGTTTGTGACTATAGAGAGAACTACGTATTTACACGTTAAACGTGAGGTTAACGTCGGGGCCGCAAATTTGTATATATGAAATGTACTATAGGCCTGTGGCCTCCTCAGTACTGAAATAAAGATTTACTGATATAATTGACCTCAATCACCACGTCTGTGTTTGTATAGCGACGTTGTAGCAGAACGTACCCGGGCACAGAGTCCATCTACTGGAAGACGTCAAATTTCTTATCGACATGGCTTAATAAATGAAACCCACAACATTTTTAATTACACTGTCACTTGAAGAATTCAATAGAGACGAAAATTTATCAATTGATGGATGGGCAAAATAGAGTTCTTTAATATATTTTTACGTAGTATTATATGCTGGCCATAGTAGAAGAAAATGATATTCGTCTTCTATAAGATTATTATTACAACATCTGCATATTCTATCCTCTCTTTTGATATTCATTAACCTACCTCTTTCAATCAATAAATCATGAGATGAACAACGGAAACGAGCTAAAGCTATTCCATATTTCTTAACATTAACACATGATAAATACCGTTCAGTATAAATGTGTGTTTTAAAGATTGAATAATAATTACATTTTGTAGCTAGTTAAATTGTTTCCAACCATTTCTGCTGGTAAATATCTTTTAATCTTTGCGTGAATGCATTTAGAAACAATGACGAACATTCAACGTTTTGTTCATACCATAAATCCTGTAGAAAATAGTAGGTGTTTAACAAGTGTTGTCCAATTCTTTTTACCTTCTTTGTCATATAGTTACATCATATTGTAGCATTATTTTGGTAAACGGTAGAATGGCATACTTAATAACTTTATCCAATATTTAATAGCCATGATTGTGAAGATATGATGAGCGGGTATATGCCACATATACCGTAACATTTGATGTGGTCATCTTTACCCCGAGAAATTTCTTGCAAGCAAATAAATGTACCTTTTCTATGGAATCAAAGTATTTAAATCC